TAGAGTGGGTTGGACCTATCAAGGAATCTTCGAAAACCCCAACCTTAGTTTAGCAGGACCAACACAGGGAGCAGACCAGGGACCCCGTTTCGTTCGGCGAGAAACAAGCCGCCAGTACAATCATTTCAGGACCTGCAAAAAAAAACCACCAATTACGCGGATTCGGGGTACGGGCCACTCTTCCCCCGAGACACCGTCGGGAAGGGTGATCGAGTTCTTGAGCCCCCCACGCGAGAGGTGCGATCAGCGGGAGGCCGGACGGGTGGCTCGACTCGGGAGAGGTTGCTCGGCGCGGTGCGGGGAGGGCGGTCCCTCGCAGTTGCGCGACAGAGGCGAGGGGTGGGGGAGGGTCTAGGAAGGGTCTGTGGGAAGGGTGTGGGAAGGGTGTGGGAAGGGTGTGGGGAGGGTCTGGGAAGGGTGTGGGGAGGGTGTGGGGAGGGTATGGGGAGGGTCTGGACCTCGTAGTCGTGAGAGAGGTGGAAGTGTTAATAATAATAATAATAATAATAATAATAATAATAATAATAATAATAACCTCGTAGTCGTGAGAGAGATGGAAGTGTCCCGAGAACCACCCCTTGATGCAGCGGTGCCGCCGGACGAGCTCGATGAACTTGCGCGTCGTGCGCGGGTCCGCCTTCTCGCCGCCAGAGTGGTTCAGCCAGCAGCAGCCGTTGACGACGTGGTTCTCCTGCAGCACCCTCAGCCCGGAGCCCATCGGCGGCGCGTGCCTGCTCACACCCGCAGCCGTGACGAGGCGCTGTTCACACCTCGATGCAGCGCCCGCCGCGGTACGCGCGTAAAGACGAAGAGCTTCCAGCCCTCCTCCGCCGGCTTGGAGGCGACAAAGTCCTCGAACCAGGAGAGCTGCTCGTCGTCGACCGTCACCTCGTGCGACGTGTACTTTGCGCCGCGGAAGATGGTCGACGTGAGACCGACGAGGACCGTCTTATCGGCAATCTCGCGCACAAACTGCGGCGCAGGCTTGCCGTGGATGCGGCAGAAGGCCTCGAGGTTCTCTGCATCGGTGGCAAACTCGTCGATGCCCTCGAGGTCGTGGTTTCCGCCCACGACCTCGTACGGCACGCCAAAGGAGGAGAGGTACTCGGCCGCATGATCGTGGCACGCCGTCGTCCCGGCATACAGCTCGGGCGAGCCCTCCCAGCACGGCTTGGACTCGCCCAGGTCGCCCAGTGATACCAGCGCCGCGCCAACGCCTCGTGATGCGGCGTCCTCAAGCACGGGGACGATGTGCGACCGGCCCTCGGCGTAGTCGTCCAGTTTTCGTGGATCGACGTGCAGGTCTCCGAGGATGGCGACCGTGAACTCGTCCGCGCTCGGCACCTCGCACTCATCAACGTCATTCTCCTGAACCTCTTCGTCACAGCGGGCAGCGTAGAAGTCGGTGCCGAGGTCCTCCTCCTCTACTATCATCGCTGGCCCGCGGCGGATTGCAGCATGGAGGAGGTGGCGCGGCCGGATCGGCGACGGGCGGAAGGACAGGAGCGAGGCGGGGAGCAAGGCTCCCATCATTCGGGAGAGGCGAGAGGCGAGCGGCGCAGCGAACGGGCGGCTTCAAATGGAAGAATTTTACGCGCTCACTCTCACAGCAGGAATGGAAGAAATCGCAGCGGAAAAACTCACCTTTTTACTTCGCTGTTTGTTCACAGCACGCCACTAGGAAACCTAGACGCCCACGGTTCCCTGGGGTCGCCTGGGGAATAAAAGAGTATGAAGAGCCGTGAAAAAAACTCCATGTCAGTCACGTAAAGAAATCGATCGAGAAGTAAGACGACTTCATAGCAATGTCCACTGAGCACTTGGATAGGGTCTTCATACTGGATCCCTGGAAACTGCTTCCTGGCGGAGCCGGAGGGCTGTGTCCCTGAGATGAGAGAGTTTTGTTGTCGTGTCCCTGTACCCTGATCGTCCTTCCAACCAAGAAGCAAGATCCTGCTCGTGCAGGTGGGGACCGTCGGGCCGAAGCCCGTCAGGCACTCTCTCCCTAACCCTAGCCTTCTCCCGAACCCTAGTGTGTTTTGTTGCCTCCGTGCTTTCACACTCGTCTTGTCGTGTCCGTCCACTGTGATTGCGGCCGTCCACGACTACGTCGTCTCTAGAGAACGTATCAACCCCCTTCTGGTGCCGACCGCGCCCCCGCGGGGCACGGCCGGACGTGGCAGCGTCAACTGGTCACGACCAGCACTTTGGGGGAGTCCCTTCACGCTATCCCAAATATGGCCGGCGACTCGCTGGCGGGGAGCCTCGGAGAGGTCCCCGCCAACTGGTTCGAAGCAGCTCCAGGAGTGAGCACTGAGGCGAGGAGCCGCGCTCGAACAAGCTGCGCGGCGGTCTGATCCCGCCTGGCGTGTCTTTGGCCGCTGGCATTTCGTCGTGCTGCCGGCAGCGCTGCGCGCTGCTGCGGTGTTGTCCTCTGTGAGCTCCGCCCGCTGACCACCGGAATGGTCGGCGTCGAGTTCAGTAGGCGTGCTGCCTTCCCAAGATCCCGATTGACCTCGCGCCCGGCAGTCGTGCCTGCAGCGGACCCGGTGGTCGAATTAGATGGAGCGGCGAGCACAAGTAGTAGGAGGCAAGTCGCGTCCATCGCACCACCATGCGCCCCGACGCGGAGGCGTTCGTTCAGACTTCGAAACACGGCGCGTGCGTGCGTGGGTGGGTGGGCGTTGGCGGCGCGACGGGCCACCACACTATGGCCAAGAGAAGCAAGCTGAAGGCTCGCCTCGATCCATTTGCCGATGAGCCGCAGACGGCGCTCGGCCTCACGCGTCGAGCCATTGCTGTGGCGCTTCAGCCGAGGCTGCCCGCCGGCGAGACGCCTACCGAAGCTGCGTGCAGCTCGAGGGCCCGAATGGTTGCGGTGGAGCAGGTCAAGCCAATTCCGCACCGCAGGTTCTGTAGCGCGCGGCTCGCTACGCAGCTCGGCGAAAGCAGCAGGTCGTTGATGCAGGATAGCGGCTTCCTGAGCAGAGGCGAGTGGCTGTCTGGTCCCAGAGACAGACGGCCCGAAGAGACTGACCCCACACCCAATCACACATGCAGGCGAGCGCTTTCTGCTCAAGTACACCAAGCCTGAGAACAACCACACCTGGCTTCACAACTTTGGCAATGCGCTGTACTGCTATGCGGACAGGTTTGCGCTGCAATCCCTCTGCGGTCCGGGAGGCACCGTGCCAGGCATCCTCGGCGGTAGGGCCAGGAGGGTGCCTGCCCCCGCCGACGGGGCGCGCCTCTCGCGCGCGTGCATCTTTGCGGTCTGGTGCCGGGACCCGACTCTGGGCGGTCCCTCGTGGCACACCGCGGGCGCGTGCTGGGGCAGCTACGGCTACGCCCCAGTGTTGCCGCAGCTGCGCGAGCAGGAAGACAGCCCAGTGGCTGTGCGAGGGTCGGGTGCGGGGTGGTCTCACAGTGGCCGCTCGTCCCCCGTAGTTTGGTCAACGCTTGGCCGAGATCCTGGATGCGCAGACGCTGTCGCGCCCATGCGGGCGTTCTACGCACGAGAGAGTTGGGGTCGTCTACATGCGGTGCGGTGACTGGCTAAGCCCGCGCCCAGGGCACGTGCTGCTGCGTCTGCCTTGGTTCAATCGCTTCGGCCGCGCGGCACTTGGGGACCTCGACCGTGTCGTGATCATCTCGAACCGTCAGACACACGTCTCGGCGCCGTGGCAGCCTCGCACCTGCAACGCTCTCGTCGGCGGCGTCCGCGACCATCTGCAGCACCTGCTCGGACCCCGGACCGTGGTGGAAGTCGCGGAGGAGGCAAAGATCCTCGTGGATCTGCACTGCGCGGTCAGCGCCTCCGTGCTGGTCGTCGCCACTTGGGGCTCGTCCTTTGGCCACTGGGCGGCGATGCTGGGCCGCGCGTGCGTCATTGTGCTGCCCACGCTCCTCGGACTCGAGGGCCACGCCATCGCTGCAAAGCACGGCGAGCCTATCGGCTGGCGCAGAGGGCTCTACTATGTCCCCGCAGCACGTGACGATTGGGTGCGAGTGGCCGATTACCCGCCGAGCGTGTGGTCAGTGCCGGAGAGGGCGCTCGCGCTGCTGAGGGCGAATCGAAGCAAATGATCTCCGGTCGGCAGTGGAGGAGAGGCGGCAGAGTTTGGTTTCTGTTAAGCCTCTGTGTATGTACGCCACGGCGTTATACACACATGCTGGAATGGTGACGGGCCGAGACGACATCACCGGCGTCGCATCAAATACACGTTTTTCACTGCCGCAGACGCCGCCTCCACTAGGCTATGAGGCCGTGAGGCTGGGTCTCTACTGGAACCCCCACTCCCCCAGCGGCACGGCCTTTACCGACACACTCGTGCATCCCCCAGATGCCTTGAAGTCGGACCAGAGCTTGAAGTGCGGCTGCGCCTTGTGGGTATCAACGGCCGCAGCGTCGACATAGGCCTCGTAGAAGAAGAAGCGCGTGTCTGAAGCGCGGAGCACGTCGAACCGAAGGCACCCCGGCTCCCCCCGGCTACCTTTCGCGTCCGCCTCGATGACTTTGATAAACTCATCGACCCGGTCGGGAACAATCTCGGCGTCCACGACGATGGCGACGCCGGGCTGCGCCGCCACGGGAGCGCCGCCGCGCAGACGGTGCACACTCTGAGCTGGCCGACGAACGTTGTGAAGCTGCAGCGCAGAGGCGCCGCCGATCAGCAGGAGCGCGAGTTGGGAAATCATTATTGTGCTGTGTCGTAGGAATGTGCAGCCCCTGCGGCAAAAGAGAATCTGCGGATCGCGAGAAAGGTAGCGCTTCGTGTGTCGCCCACTCTCCTGGAGATGTCTGCTCTATTTATTAGCGTCTGTGGGGACTACATGAGCCCTACATGAAGGGTGGAAGGCCCGTCCGCGGAACTAGGCGCGCGGGCACCCCCACTGTCGCCGCTCACGCCGCCGCCGCCCTCCACCTCGCCCACGTTTCCGCGCCGCCCTCCACCTCTCCCATGCCACCCCCGCCCTCCACTTCGCCCACCCTTTTGCCGCCACCCTTTCTTTCGCCGCCCTTGGCCCCCACCGCCCTCCTCCTCCACCCCTCGCCCTCCCCCCCGCCCTACCGAACCACCCACCGGAGCAGGCGGACATCGCTTCCAGGGAGGGGGGCGTGCTTCTGCTCACACCACATGCTAGGGGGGGGGTCCGACCCCCCCCAGAGGCTTCACCACATGCTAGGGGGGGGGTCCCGCCCCCCCCAGCACCTTCACCACATGCTAGGGGGGGGGTGGAGCGTGAGCAGAAGCACGCCCCCCTCCCTGGAAGCGATGTCCGCCTGCTCCCGCCCGCCCATGCCGACCTCCGCCCTCCCGCCACCCTCCCCCCTTCCCGCCCTCCGCCTTCGCCATCCCCCATCTGTGCATTTTCCACTCCGTTCGCCCCCTCCCGCTTGGCGCCCATCCCGCCCTCCGCCCTCGCCCTCCGCCCCTGCCCTGGCTGGCCTGGGTGGGTGGCACCTGCTCCTCATCATCACGCGCCAAGTGGGAGGGAAGTGGACGGGGCGCTGAGCCGACCTAGCCCTAAACGGAACGGGGCGCCCAACACGTGCCGGATTACTGTGCCTTCCCCGGGCACAGCCTTTCGGTTCGTGAAGGGTCGGTGCGTGTCGTGTCTCGTGACCTCCTGGAACAACCGTACTCTCCCGCCACCATCTCCGTTGCTTGGTTTTACAACCTTGCCACAACCGGGAGGCGGCCAGGACTCATAGACTCGGTCGAGAGACCCCAGATTGGCATCCATGCCTTTCTGGACAGGGTGGCCCGCCACAAGCGACAAGGACCCCAGGAATTGCGACTCGCCGCTTTCCTCCCACTGTGATTCTGTGTGAGCTCTGTGTCTTGATTTGCCAACAATACACCTACACCCACTGTGGCCGAACGTAAGGAGCCGTTTGGCACGCTCAGTCGGATTCACGCCCCTCCCCTTCGAAGTAGGGTACCACCCTACTATTTAGGGTGGGCTCCGGCGCCCGCCCGCATCGCCCCAAGATGGCAAGCGGAGCCTACCCACGTGGCGCGCAGGTGCCCTCGGCTTACGGACCGAGTCGCACGAGGCTCACATTAAGTGAAGATCAGGGGAGTTGACCCAGATGGTTGGTACGCATTTTGCGCGCCTGCTTGTTGATTGATGTTGTCGGCGTCGCCCGCCACCGCCGCCAAGCCGCAGGAGATCTGCTGCGTGTGGTCGACGACAAAGGAGGAGGCGCACTGGCAAGCTCCTGGCAAAAGAAAGGCGCCGGCTTGAAAAGAAAAAATACCCGCGCAAAACTCTGCAATTAGGACGTACGAGTCTAGCTCCCGCGCGCGAGGGTCATGAGCGCCTGCCTCGCGAGCGGGCGGAGCCTCTCCAAGCTGGGGCTGGCCATGTTTGCTGCGCTGTGCGAGATAGAGCCCCTCGCGCCAGTCACGCTCATCAGCCCCGTCTCC